CTAGTACTGGTCTGTGACCTGTTAGGAACAGGGTCGCACAGCAGGAGGTACGCGAGAGAAGCTTCATCTGTATGTACAGCTGCTCTCATCACTCTCTCACATTACCACCTCTTGTCAGATTAGCAGTGGCATTAGATTCTCATAGGAGTGTGAATCCTATTGTGAACTGAGCATGTGAGGGATCTAGGTTGCCGGCTCCTCATGGGAATATAATGCCTGATGATCTGAGGTGGAGCTGAGGCGGTGACGCTAGCACTGGGGAGTGGCTACAAAACATTAACATTAGCAGTGAGGTTTGACTACAGAAACTGTAATAAATCAATTGCTTGCAGACTCATATCAAAACCCTATTAGTGAGTGACAAGTGAGTTGATGTACTTCAATTATACAGCAGCATCTGGTGGCAGGCTTTAAGTAAAAATCTGACACTTATTTTATTTACCACTTCCACCCATGCCTCTTTTTTGTTATGGTTAGCTGCATAATTATTTCATATTTATTATAATGTAATAATAGAAATAAGGTATATAATAAATGTCTGTTTTTGAAGGTTTTTTTGTTGTTGTTTTTTTTTACAATAAATGTTATGGGCTTGAATCATTCCAAAACCATCTCCCCGCTGGTCTATGGAAAAATTGTCTTCCACGAAACTGGTCCCTGATGCCAGAAAGGTTGGGGACTGTTGTTCTTAGTGAGTCACTGAATGTGCACATAGTTTTGGGAGCCCATAATCCCAGTCTAATCATGTCATGTATTCATTACCGAAGGTTTTCATTGCAATAAACCAATGATTTTCTGCTTGAGGAAGAAAATAGTGAATGGGAAATAATTCTTCAGTATTCAGATAACTGTTATAATTGGAAAGCACAGACATTGGATAACTGTTATAATTGGAAAGCACAGACACCAAACATATATATAAACTGTGATGTATATAAGATTTGAAGAGGATGAATCAAGTGATGAAATATTAAATGGACTTCTTTAAAAACAAAAATTTCAAAATGATCCTCATGTGCAAATCCATGAACATGAAACTTAGTGCCTTTATAGATGATATATCTTTTCTAGATAAACCTGAATAAGCAGGTCTTTAATATAATGTATTCTCTATTCTCCCCATCCCTAAATTACATCCTTTAAATAATAACACAAGTACATTAATTCATTTAGCTCTCTGAAAATAATGTAATATAATTATTGTAGATGAGTCAGTGATTTATTAAAAACCATGATATATGGCCAGCTATTTTAAAATTTAATGCACAATCCTCCACAGAAACATTAGGCTAACTCCCTCTTTTCACATTAGCTTCTTTGGCCTTAACGAGACATTTTATTTTATTCATATTAAATAGGCCTATAGTTAAAAATGCAAACACATTCAACTGAAATGCCATTTAAATAAAATTATGTAGAAATATTATGCAACTATATTAGTAATAGCTTTATTTTCTCTCAACCTAGAGAATAAAATATTTGCCCCAAAATTAAATTTTTGATTAACTTCCTCAAAATTCTGACATTTTAGCCTTTCCATGATTATACCAACAACTTAGACAAACTAGGTAGATAAAATGAAGTCTTGACAGAAATTAGAAAAAGTGTGATCTGAACTAAAATACCACAAAATATAGAAGATATGGCTAATACAGTGATTAAAGGAAAATTTACAGTATTAAATGCTTGGGTGAGAAGAAAAATCCCCAATAAATAATAGTTATATCATTAAAAAATTTAGAAAACAGTAAAAAAAGAATTTAAAGCAAAGGAAGTAAATAATATATAGCAGAAATCAATGACTTTGAAAACAACAGAGAAAAACGATTGCAACCTAAAGCTGTTTCCTTGAAATATTAGTAACATTGACAACCAACATATTTTATAAGGCTCTGGTACCAAAACCAGATAAAAACAGTATAAAAATTTCAGGCCAGGATCCCTTATGAACAGATGCAATAAAGATCCTCAAAAACTAATATTAGCAAGTAGTATCCAGCAATACATAGAGAGAATAATACAACATAACAAAGTGGGGTTTATTGTAGAGTGCAAGACTAGCTCAATATTTGATAGTCAATTAATGTTATCATCAAAAAAAATGATCCTATCAACTGATACACAAAAAGCATTTGACAAAATTCAGTATCCATTCATGATAATACTATCAGCAAACTAGGAATAGAAGAAAATGTCCTCAACCTGATAAAAAACATCTACAAAGACCCTTCAACTAACATCATACTTACTCATGAAAGACTGAATGCTTTACAAGAATTTCTACTCTCAATACATCTATATAGCATTGTACTGAGGATTCTAGCCACTGCAATGCCACAAGAAAAAGAAAATCATTGAGACTGGAAAGGAGGTAGTAGCCTGTTTCTATTTGCAGACAAAATGATCATCTAAGTAGAAAATCCAATGGGATCTACAAAAAAACTACTATTACTAGTAAGTGATCATAGAAAGATATGATATAAGGTCAACATATAAATTTCAATTGTATTCCTATGTAATATAATGAACAATTGGAAATTGAAATTTAGTACATTACCATTTACAAATGGCATCAAAAATATGATACTTAGAGATGAATCTGACAAAATATGTTAAGTACTTACATTCCCAGTACCACAAGATACAAAACCAAATAAAAATAGCATTTTTAAACACTAGTATTAAGTCAAAATTTTTAAAAAAATAACAGTAACTCCTCCCAAAAGAAAAATGGGTAAAAATCTAACATGAACAGGTTCTGAAAACTGAAAAATACTGATGAAACAAATCAAAGACATAGATAAAAGGAAAGATATACAATGTTTACATATTGGAAAAGTCAACATAGTAAAGATTTCAATTCTCTCCAAGTTGATCTACAGATTTAATATAATGTCAATCAAAATCCCAATGGAATATTTTTGTAAATATAAACAGGTTGGTTTTAATTTTTATATGGAAAAATCAAAAGAATTAAAATAGCTAAACCAATTTTGAAAAAGAACAATAAAGTCAGAGGGTTTACCAATTCTGTTTTGTGACTTACTATAAATCTACAATAAACAAGTAAAAGGGCTACTAACAAGAGAGTAGACATAAAGATGAATGATATAGAACAGAGAGTCCAGAAATAGACTCACATGTACAAAGTCTGACAATGAAGTTCACAGACTTATCCTAGAAAAAAGAGCTACATACCTCATTGCTGAATATCACTACCATCACCTTTGAAGTATGCCCCTTGGGAAACTATGATGCCAGTACCTAGTACACCCATCAGAGCAATTTTGGAACTCTTTTTCTGGAATGGCTATCAGAGTTGTGCCGTCTTACCCTTGATGCCCTGAATGTCATCATGTCTTTCTTTCCATTTTTATTTTCTTTATCTTTGGGTAAAGAAAAAAATCATTGGGGGCCAGATCAGGTGAGTAAGGAGGGTGTTCCAATACAACTATTTGTGTACTGGCTAAAAACTCCACCACAGACAGTGCTGTGTGAGCTGGTGCATTGTCATGATGCAAGAGCTCCTTTGGGACCATTTTTGCACACACCTTTCTCCTGCCAAGATTTTCAGTTAAAAATTTTCTGTTTCTCTATTGATGTTTATTTGGTCTGTTATGCTTCTCACAGTCAGCTGATGATTTTGATAACATTTTGACAAATTTTTCCAATGTTTTCATCAGTTCTGTTCATTACTGGCCAACCTGACCACTCTCCATCAGTGATACTTGTTGTCCCCTGAGAAAAACGTCTAATCCATTTGTAGACTGCAGTTTTCTTCAGGGCATTATCCCCATAAACTTGGACTAATATGTCCCTGATTTCACTTCCACTCTTGCCAAGTTTAACAAGGAATTTAATGTTTGTTCATTGCTCTAATTTAAGCTCTGACATTCTTACAACAGCACACAAAAACATGCAACAACAATAATGAACACCACTCAACAAGATACGGCCACATGTCGACATGAACACAGCTGTGAGACACTGATATACCAAGGTTATGAAACCTTACAGAAACAAAGATCTGAGTATCACATGTTCTCACTCATATAGTGGACCTTGAACATCCACCGTAATACTATTTAAAAAAAGACTGACAGTGGTGGGAAACTATGGGGGGGAGGGGAAGGGAGGTGGGATTAACGGTAGTCAATATCTGTCTGGGGACGGGGAGACACTCCTTGTCAACAAGGGTGCCTGAACGAAGCATATTTGTATACCTAACCCTAAACTGTACTCCACAAATATCAAAATAAAAAATATTGATAAAGTTAAAAAAAAAAAAGAAACCTTACCAAGCTATTTGTATAGTGCTGCCAACGTAAGTGCATGGTAGCAAGTTCGTGAAATAAATTGTCAGACCACGTATACAGCCAAATGATTTTTGACAGTTGCAAAGGTATTTCAACAGTGAAAGGATCATGTTTTCAACAATTGGTGCTGAAACAATTGAGCATCTTTAGGAAAAGTAATAAACCTCAACTTAAATATCACACTTATTTAAAAATTAATTCAAAATGAATCCTAATTCTCAATGAAACTTAGAACCACAAAACTTGTAGGAAAAAAATCATAGGAAAAGATCTTCATAACCTAGAATGAGGCAGAGTTCTTAGATCTGACACCAAAAGTGCAATCTATTAAAAAAAACTTTTTGAGCCTGGGTGCAATGGCTCATGCCTATAGCCCCAGTACATTGGAGGCTGGGGCAGGAGGATTGCTTGAGCCCAGAAGCTCAAGACCAGCCTGAGCAACATAGTGAGAACTCACCTCTATGTTTTAAAAAAATGAAACAAACAAAAAAGCCCCAAAAAATCACTTTTTGAGAAATAGACATCATCAAAATTAAACATGTTTGCTCAGCAGGAAAAAAATTCTTAAGAGAATAAAACGGCTACAGATTTACAAATCATCTAGCCAGTGAAGGACTTGTAGCCAAAGTATATAAAGAAGTCTCAAAACTCAACAGGAAGAAAATAACCCAATTAAAAAGTGAGCAAAATATGGGAATCGACACTTTCCCAAATTATGTATACAAATGGAAAATAACCACATAAAAAATGCTCAACATCATTAGGGAAGTGCAAATTAAAACCATAATGTGACACCATTGCGTATCTATTTGAATGGTTGAAATTAAAGAAACATGGAGACCATGAGGTGCTTGCTTTCAAAGATCCACAGCAAATGGAATTCTTCGCTGTGTGGAATGCAAAGTGGAACAGTCATTCTGGAAAACAATTTGACAGTTTCTAATATAATTAAACATATACTTACCACATGATTCAGCAATCCTATTCCTGGATATTTTCCCTAAAGAAATAAAAATTTAGATTCACACAAAATATGTATATGAATGTCTATAACAGTTCTATTCATAATTGCTGAAATCCTGGAAAAACCCACCTCTCCTTCAAAAGTTGAATGGATAAGCTATGGTTCAGTTATACAATGGAATACCACTGAACAATAAAAAAGAATAAACTATACATATATACAACAACTTGGATGACTCTCACAGGCAATTTTGCTGAGTAAAGGGAGTCAGGATCAAAAGGTTACATACTAGTACTATATGATTCTATTTTTAGAACATTATTATTTTATAACATTATTAAAAAGGCAAAACTAAAGTAATGAAGAATAGATCAGTGACTTTCAGGTATTAGAGATGGGATTAGGGTATGATTATAAAGGTATATAACACAAGAAAGTTTGAGGGATCATGGAACTGTTCTGTAACCCTACTGTGGTGGTCATTACATGAACACATACATGTATTTAAATCATAGAGCCATATGACAAGAATAAATAATTTACTGCATGATAACTAAAAAATAAAAATAAAATAAAAAAGATTATGCTGGATAAAAAAGAGGTTTTACTGGTTAAATGCAGCTCAGTGCTATGTCTTTTTCCAAAGCAGATATTCAATTAACATTTGCCGAACACTGAAAACTGGCTGTAATTTCTTCTTCAACATCAATCTCATTCATATCCCTAAGATTCAAATATTTAAATAACTTTTTGTAGTGTCATTAACACTTCCTGTCATAGTATAGATCACCAAAAGATGTCCAGCTTACAAAAAAATTCATTTAAAATGTCAAGTAAAAGTCAGAAATCCAGATTTTCCAATCATTTTAAACACTTAAAAAAGTAGTCATTAAGAATAATAATTTTTACTTTATGTATTGCATATATAATTACCTCATTTAAAAAGGGCAACATCTCTATTGAAGTAGAGCATTTAATGAATGTTTACATAATTAATTAATCCTTACTAAAAATGGAACACAATTATGCCATTAACTTACCTCAAATACTAACTCTTTTTAGGATTTGCTTGAATTATCAAGACAGACTTTAAAAAAATATGATTACTCATTCTGGCTCTAACCATTATGCGTACTCACATCACCAACTCACAAAAGCTCTATGTTAATGTACTCCTTTAAGTTTTCTTTGCTAAAGAGACATTGGGCATTTGTTTGCCTGTAGATCTTGTATGACTAATCAAACTTATTAGGATCTTGCCACGTCACTCTCTACAGACCTGGAACAACAGGTCTAAGACTCACTGAATGTGATAAATTAGCTAAGTACACTAGTCAAATCCTGTGTGTGTAAATGAATAAAAATAACTTCATCTATACAATAACAACACAAAAAACCCTTAACATTTTACTTACTTTGCTCTATGCTGTGTAAAATAGAGTATTCTTATACTGGAAAATAATTAATAATATAGCTGAGATTTTCAAAAGAAAAGCACCTATCCCGAGTTAAACACATTTTTAAAATTACAAAGATGTTAATCTGAATTTGTTTACAGTACAAAGCAAGTATAATTTTAGAAGCCCTCCACAGTAAATTAAATGTCTTTAAGGTATTCTTTCTGAATATTCACTTAACATATGATCACCTCCAATTTACCTAGGTATCAATCCAATAGTTAATAAAAAATTTGAATTTTACAGCTTTAGTAAGTTAAAGTATGAAGCATATTATAATGATGCTAAAATACATTCCTTTTTTGCTTTCCATAGTACAGCAGTCTCCAATCTTTTTGGCATCAGGGACAGATTTCGGGAAGACAATTTTCCCACAGAACAGGATGTATATATGGGGAGGGAGACCACCAGGCATTACATTCTGATAAGGAGCATGCAACCTAGATCTCTGGCATGCACAGTTCATAATAGAGTCCCTGCTCCTATGAGAATCTAATGCCCTTGCTAATTGGGCAGCAGGTGGAGCTCAGCTCACTCGCTGCTCATGTCCTGCTGTGTGGCCCCGTTCCTAACAGGTCATGGATCCATACCCTAGTTCATGGCCCGGGGATTGGGGACCCCGTCATAGTATATACTCTGATGTTGCATTACATTATCACTTGCAAATGAACCACACGGGAAAGCCTTTATTAGGAACCAGTCAAAAATATAATTTAAAAAAACCTACTGTAACAATTATACTATGTAACTGAAAGATGAAAAAAATCAACTACTCTGAAGTTATCAATACTGTAATTTTATTTTATTGAGTCTATGAGTAGGCTGTTAGGTCATAATGTGTTCACTTAGCTGTTTTTAAAAGAATAAACTATTACATGAAATTTCAGTTTTCTCTATTTTAGTTCTGAGAACACTGTTAATATTCAACACACTGATTAAGACATTATTATGAATAAGTAAATAATAAAGACAATTTGCATTATAAAGTTTATTCAGAAATATATCAGGTCTCAAACTTCAAAATTTTCATAAGCTCCTCCATCCAATGGCTTTGTTAGTTTCCACAGCATCTATATTTATTGTTTCATCCCTTCCCACATCTTACTCTGGAGCATATTGTTATGGGCAATGAATTAGTTCAAATCTTAGAGATGCAGACTCTTCTACAAAATTACAGTAAGGGTAAATTACCCTTTAAATAATTTTCACAATTTAACACAGTTAATCATATCTGGATCATGTGGGTACATAATTGAATCTGGCTTCTTGAAATAACCGTTTAAGCTAAATGTGATGAAAAGTGAATGAATTTGTTGGATTTACTTAGAGAAATATTTTTTTCAACTTAACCTGAAATAAAATCACTGTAAAACAATCCTAACAATAAATTCAAGAAGTATGTTAACAAACAATCCTGTCCCAATATTATAAGATTAATGTTCCTCTAAAATATTACAGAATTTGGAAAAATTGCACAAAAGAGACTTTTTCTAAACATGGGTGAAGCATAGACAGCATTACACATGCTAATTATACCAGGATTGCTTATAGTGATTATTAAGTGTGTTTAGAGAAAATAAGCATTTCAAAATTATTAAAACCAAGTTTTTGTTATACAGACATTCAAAGTTAGCTCCACCCACTCCCCAAACCCCAATATTTATAATAGAGAATTTTTAGTGAAGTCTTTAAAAAAAATTACCTGCTTCTGTAGCCATCGCTCACGCCTTCGTTGTTTCCTTCTTAGATTCTTCAACTTGCTCCTTTCTCTCTTGTTGAGCCTCTGATTAATGGAGCCCAACGAAAAACTGGATGAGTGCAGGAAGTCCAGAGGGGAGAGGTGTTCTTCATGGTCGGAGGCCTCCAGCAGGCTCCTGCCAGCTGAGGGCAGGTCCATCAGGAAAGTCAGGTTGTTAGTATTAGCACGATCAGAGTACACTGAAGAAGCTTCTAGACCACACCGAAATTCTCCTAGTCTCTGTGTCTGGGTCTCACGGGGGGCAACTGAAAATCTTTGCAGCAGCATATTAGGATCAAAACTGGATGGATTCTGAAAGGAACAGCTATTTTTACTAGATTGTAAAGGCAAGTCTGAAAGGTCAATAGGCTGTGTTTCATTTATCCTGGAATAGGCAGCAGTCTTACTATGTATTTCATATAAAGTGGGTAATAAAGTCAGTTTCTCACTGATGCTCAGATCCAGACTATGTGATTTTCTGTGAAAAGCCCTCGTAGCACATCTGCCAGTCACAAGCTGGGGAACAAAAAGCTGGCATTTTGGTTCAGATGCTTTGAAGAGCAGTTTTTCATTCTTCATCTCAAAATATGTTGATCGCACCTCCAGGCAGAGTGCTTCTGTTAATCTTCCAGGGTCATTATTATTTTGGGCCATGTTTAGAAGTCCGTGATTTCTGTTTTTGGAGCCACCACCTGTCAGTAGAGTCTCCTTGTCACAACCTGACTGAACTCTAGGATGTGACAAGTATTTCAGCGATGGTCTCATTAGTCTGCTTGCCTGTGATGGCTGATAATCGGTCCGGCTCTTGGAGAGATGTACAGCTGCAAGCTGGCCACAGGAACATTTTGGAGTGCTGACAAAATTAAAGCCCCCTAAACGGGCCCCACAGAAAGGGCAATTCAGTTTTCCAACTGTCCACTGGGCCTACAGGTAATAAAGGAAAATAAAGACAGTGCTTTCATTGTAAAGTAACCAAAGAGAATGCTAAAAAAAAAAAAAAAAAAAAAACAAATAAAAAAAAACACTTGAACGTTCTCTATGCCACAGAAAAGGCTAGCTTTCTGTTTCTGATTAGTAGACAAAATAGCAAATGGAAACAAGCCTTCCAATAAACAGAGATAAGCAGCACCAAAGTTCTAGAATGATAACATAACACAAATCATGCCCATCCAAACAATACTCCTAAGAACTCCAAAAGACAGTCTTTTAAACAATAGGTTGAATATGGATACAGTGTGAACTAATGAAAAGAAAAATACACTATGGAACCAGGAAGCAAATCAGTCTACAGAGCTTAATTTGCAAGTAAAATCTCACAGAAAAGTGTCTGTTTTGATACACTTCTTGCATACCAAGCACTGTGGGAGGGAATTTCACCCAACCAACAGAATAAAGCCCTTCCTGGCTTTTTATATACAGCCAAAAGATATTGATTGCATACATCAGTGCATTTTCAATACTCAGATTGGAAATTAATAATGAACTGGCTTAAAATTAATTTTCAACAAAGATAGTGAAAAATCTGCAGAGACCTAAAATATTTTGTAAATTTCAGGACACTTACAAACAGTGCACTGGCATTTTCCCAGAAAATTGTTACAATGTGAGAAAGGATGTAAGGAATATCTATCAAATGTTATTTTTTTAACAAAAGGAGTAAGCTATTCAGTGGAAACATTATTATGTTTTTCCAAAATTGTATTACTTTTACTTTTCTAAGACAGGTTTTGAGTTGAGAAATAACTACAAGGTACATTCTTCCTCTTATAATATTTTATTAGGGAGCCTTTCAACTAGTATTTTCATTTTTATTACATCAATAAGAATCATTAATTACTCAATTTATTATGTATGTGTAAGTATATGTGTATGTGTGTAGATATGAATGATACATACAGAATAGTTCATTTATTCAACAGGCACTCTTCTAGCTGCTGAGGACATAGTAATAAAGATAATATAAAAGCCTCTGACTTAATGGAGTTATTCTAATGTGGGAGCCAGGCAACTGACAAGATAAGTTAAGCTATATATGTGAGGGGGTAAGTGCGTGTGTGTGCAAGTATGTATGATAATATATGCATTTATTTATATCATATATATCCATATATGTGTATAAGTAACATATAATTACTGTGTGTGTCTATGAAATAAAGACAGGTAGATAAAGCAGAGAAGGGAGAAAGGTAATGGGGATGAGGGGTAGTTGAAAGGCTAGTCAAGCAATGCAACCAATAAAAATAGCTCTAAAATGGGGACAGAAACATTCTAAAGATTGAATGTTCCTAATTTTACTCAGAAACTAAGAACTTACTTTTTGTATTAGGCAATTTATCCATTCTGGAAGGGCTTCTATATTCATGTGCCACACATGACAAATATTTTGAGTATCAACTGAATCATGTTTATCCTGTAAATAAAAATACATGATATTAGTAATTACCAGCTCAGAATTTATTTCACAACTTTTGCATTTAAGTAAAACTGAAACATACAAATTCAATTTTAGGTAGAAAGCAAACATATATCGTCCTCCTTTCTTCACTCCCATAAACAAATACAAGCCCACAAAGAAGAGAAAAATAATTTTTTCAGGAAATACCTACCTGTGATTTAAAACAAAAGAAAACAAAACCCTTCCACGTAATTGAGTTCGTCAAATAAAGTTTAAAATTTAGTACTTAGTTACTGAATAGACAAATCCAGTGCCTTATTCTTTTTTTTTCCCTTCTGTAAAATAGTACCATTCATGGCAACTTTCCCCAGCCTCCAAACTCTGATTCTATCTGAATTCTACTAAAAACAGAATAAAGAAGTTGCTATATTCTCTATCAAGATGCTAGATAAATGTGCAGGAATATGGGGGAGAGGAACAATGGGCTCAGGACATAATGCCCCAAAATATGTTCCCTTGGTACACTGAAAAACAGCAGAAGCAAGAAAGCCTCTCTGACACTCCGCCTACCTTTTTCCCTGAAGCAGGTGAAAAACCTAGGAAGGATTTCTGGATCTCCCCTAAAGTAGGTTATAGAACTCTTATACAAGAAGAAATGGTATGTATCTTCAAAACTGCAGTTGAAGCTGGCTTTCTAAAAAGTTTACCAATTCATCTGACAAACTGGGCAGGGTCGGAGGGGAGGTGTACTTCAGTGCAGGTCTGAACAGAGACAAGCATATGACAGAGTAATAGATATTTGGAAAAGTAAATCTTCAGTTTTAGCAAGAGAAGAAAAACTAACTCACAATCTGTTTCACTGGCTCAGCAGAAAGAAAACTGCATGAAAGCAAGCAAACACCCTTGGATTCTTTTTCCTAAACCCATAACATAATACATATATTAATAGATGCTATATTTGCCATGTAGAAGGATAAATTCTGGTATGTTCAATCATTGATAATTCTAGGGACTTCAAACTTTAATTATTCTAAGAAATCTGTGAGTGCCAGTTTCTACAGAGTTTGAGAGAGAACAGCAACACTCTAGTAAGTTCAGTTTTCTTTTGATTGGCACTAATGAAAATAATCTAATCAAGATCATGACCTCTGTGAAAGGTTGTCTTAGAAGAGTATTTCCCGCCCGCGGGTTCGAGACCTGCCTGGGCAGCGAGACCTCATCTCTACAGTAAATAAATAAATCAAAAAATCAGCCGGGCGTGGTAGCGCATGCCTGTAATTCCGGCTACTCGGAAGGCTGAGGTGGAAGGATCTCTGGAGCCCAGCAGGTCGAGGCTGCGGTGGCCGGGAGCGGCCACTGCACTCCAGTCTGGGCGACAGAGTGAGACTCCAACTCAAAAAATAATAATAATAAATAAATAAAAAGAGTATTTCCCAAAATGAGGTCCCTAGATCACCAGCATTAGAGATACCTAGAGTTCCTACTTAAAATGTATACTCTTGGGCCACACTCCAGAGTGACTACACTCTAAATAAATTCCTACTTATAATTTTCTTATACATCTTTTTTTTTAGACTTGGAGTTTGTGTACTTTTGTCAACTGCCTTTTCCAACATTTTAAGTTTGAACAGTGATTAATTTGCAATAACAATTTAGTCATTACTGGTCATTCTCTCTAACTCATATAAATAAATTAGAATGACTTGGACAAAAAACTAAACTGAAGATCCTCTATTCTGTCAAGAAGTTGTGAAAGGTAGCTTCAAAGTAGAATACACACCAGGGGCGCTGTGGCTCAAGCCTATAATCCTAGCACTTTGGGAGGCCAAGGTGAGCAGATTGCCTGAACCCACAGGTTCAAGAACAGCCTGGGCAACTTGGCAAGACTTCATCTCTACATTATATCAAAAAATCAGCCGGACGTGGTAGCACATGCCTGTAGTTCCGGCTACTTGGATGTCTGAGGTGGAAGGATCGCCTGAGCCCAGCAGGTCGATGCTGGGGTGGCCGTGAGTGTGCTATTGCACTCCAGCCTGGGTGATGGAGTGAGACCCCAACTCAAAAAATAAATTAATAATAAAAACCATTTCTTTAAAAAAGTAAAAAAGTAGAATACACTAGCAAAAGATGTAAAGAGTCTGCAGTCATTTAATTAAAAATATATAATGTATCTAAATGATTATGTTGCTCCAGATTTTAAATATTACTCTATTTCATGTTAATAGTTTTAGTATTATCATGGTTATTTTTTCTATATCCCAACAATTAAAATATAACTTAATTTTGTTTATGCTCATAATACATGATGCTGTTTTTCATTCTAGAAATAATCTTTTATTTCCTGAAAATATCTAGTTGAAATACTAAAGATCTTTCTTGCTTCAGTTCCCAGGTCCAAACCCCATTAGTGGGAAAGCTCCAGGGGGCACGCACTTCGTTTTTTTGTCCCTTCAGATCATAAAACAGTGCTTGAAATATAATAGGTACTTTAAAATGCTGAGTGAATAAAAGATGCCTATTCTGTATAAAATTCTGTATTTTTTTTCACTGTAATCTTCCCTAGCCCCTTTGATTTTTAAGGAATTTTCTTCTATTGAAGACTATTAAAAATGTGCATTGATGACAGTGTGCTTATTTTTCTTTATGTATTGTTAGAATTGTCAAGTAAGTTAATGGCAATTAACCTATCAATATTTATTGAGTGATTACTAAATATAGTGTTGACCACATAAAGCAAGTAGAGAGACATACTTATTAATATGCCAAGGACTACGCTGAGTGCCTTACTTTTCAGTATGCACACTTCATTATTTCATTTAATCAAATAACTTGCTCATGATATTTAATAATATAACATTGATCATAACACTAAAAAACCAAAATCCACTATAAATTATAGAATTCTTTTGTCTTCTAGGTGGCAAATATAATAGCATCCATTAATATATGTATAATATAATATATTTATCATGGGTTTAGAAAAAAAGAATCTAAAGGTGTTTGCTTGCTGTCATGTAATTTTCTTGCTGCTGAATCACTGGGGAGAAATTGTGACTTTCCATGCTATTCTTTGAAGATAAACACTGTAGTCATAGTGGTAAGTAGGTATAGGAAGTTTTAAAATGTACTTATTTTTACTAAGTAACAAGCATTTTTGTTGTGCTTACAATGCCCCAGGCACTGTCTTGAGAGTTTTTACTTCCTTACAGATAAGAAAACTTATATAAGAAATAATAAATACCTTTTAAGTAACCTGTCAAGGTCACATAAAGTAGTAAGGCAAGGATTTCCATCCAGGCAGTCCTTGTTCAGAATTCATGTCCTTAGCCAGTAAGCTTCCTTTGTTACTTCTTATACCATATAAATGCTACAGTGTTTAGGACAATAAACTTTCTAACATCTCTAGCCTGAGTATGTTTTAAGGCATGACACTGTTATTCTTCCCTAAGCTTACAAAACAACAAAAACTAAAACCGAGGAATAAATTGTTTTGAAATTAACCTAAATAATTTCTGTAGAAAGAAGTAGGTTTAGAAAAAAATCCCACAGCTGATTCTGCTGTTCAGTTTCTCAATCCAACCTCCTTCATTTGAGAACTATTAACATAGAGCAAGTATACAGTTTTCTCTAAACAGCTAAAAGTTGAAGCATTCTTTCATGCCTTTTCCCACGCCACCCAAAATAAAAGGGAAATCAGTTACGGCAACTGACACAGGTGAGAGGAACATAAAAGACTGGGTTGAGCATTACAAATGAGACTGCCAATTACTTTTGCCTGTATTTACAAATGCACAGTCTTAGAAAAATACATGATATCTATTATAATTTATTACTAATACGATTTTAAGGCAAAAAAGGGTATACCAACGATTATATCTCTAAGTCTTAAGTCACACAAATATATATATATGTGTATATGTATGTATGTATGTGTGTATGTGTGTATGCGTGTATTAGATAAAACAAGCTATAAGGGACATATTTTAAGACGAATGAGGAAACTAGGAACAATCTGATTTGAGGAATGTAAAGCCTTTAATGTACTGGCAAAAGGGGTTTTCTCCTAGGAAAAATCAGATTGGAAATCAGAACAACTGCTGCACCAGGATTTATATGTCAACCTGATCACATGGGAGAAGAAGGGAAGGAAGGGAGAGAGAGCAACTAACAGCCAATTTCACATAATGCTGTGGGAAAGATGTTGACAAAACTGTTTCATGAAATAATTTTTTCAAGCAGCAGGGGGAGCTCATGTACTGTTATTTTGTTTTATTCTTTAAGGATAGGGAAAGTTCACAGTTGCTGTCTAGATTATTTTATTTCAAAAGCACAAATTTCATACATTACCCTTCTTATCATTATATGATCTTAAATATTTTTAATTAAGTGTAAAATGTTGATAAACAATTTATTATATAATATTTTGAAAGATGTTGAATACTTGGCATTTTTAATGTAAGCAATAACGTTCCCTCAGCTAATTCTTTAAACATGAGCCACTACATTACTTAAATACTGCAGCTAGACACCACAGTAAAAATGTTATGTATCAAAATGTCATTTAGACTAACATTATTCATTAAATATGTAAAGAGTTACAAATGTAAAGGAACCAAAATTATATTGAACTACCTGGTTTTTCTATTCGTACTCAGAAGAAGGTATTTCAAGGTGAAAAAAATTTTTTTAATCAAAAGGTCACAATGAATTGAAAAATTGGAAAGCCTTACTTAAAAGTCAACAAGCTACCTCAATTCCTGATACTGTTCTAATTCACTAATCAATATTATCTTTTTAAACTTCAAAGGCCATGTCTCCCCCATCTCACTGAGTTCCCAGCAGTTAGGATAAAGATCAAAGTCTTTACTTTGACTTATGAGATCACAAATGATCTGCCCAAAATCTATCTTTCTAGCCTCAAATCTTGCCAAACTTCCTCTTGGCCTCTGAACACCAACCATGGAAATCTCTTTGAATTCTGTGAATCCACCACAGGGCCTTTGAACATGCTGGTC